AGCAGGAATACAGTCCAAGCAGGCAAAAGCTACATTCTCAACTTGGAGCAATCCTGTAGAGCACACAAACTACAATCTATTCACAGCCTATGCTTCTTAAAGAATTTGGCTCCATTTTTCTCTGGAAGGGAGAACTGCAATATTTGGATCCAGGAGCAAATTTCTCCCAGATTTGAAGTCCTCACATCAGAGCTCAGGATCTCTTCAGCCTTCAACAAAAGCCACCGGTATTTTATAACCTGAGTGCCCTACTCTGTTTTCATTCAAACTTCCATGTGAACTGAAGTCTTTTGACAATGCAACACTTCATTCAGGGTAGCTATAGCTTGGCAAAGCTAAAGACAATATAGAAATGAATCTGGTGCAAACCACCAGAGAGACAGACTGGGAATTGCTCTGCACATGCTGTACAGGTGCTAAGTCACAACTATAAATGCTATAAAGAACCAATTGTACTCTTACAAGGTAAAATGAACGTACAGGTAACAACCCAGCAAAACCACTTCAACCTCATTCATTTACCTAGGGAAACAATGCATGCTTACATGTTTAATATTTGTTTAAATGTGTATTTATGGATATAAAAATAAGAAAGAAAGATACAAGAAATATCAACAGCAAGATAGAAGAAATCAGGCCCTTCAGCTTTAAGTCAAACTCAGTATCAACATCATTAAAAAACCCTAACTTCAGGCATGCCGAAGGTGATAAATAAGAGAAGTTAAAAGGTATGCTACATGGCATCAAGACTACCTCAAAAAGTCAAAGTCAAGAGATGAGTTGAGGTAGGGTTTTGGTTTTCAGTTGACCTGAGGTTTAATCCTGAAAGGCTGCTGTGGCACATAATGCTGTGTCCCTCCCTTTCATCACTTTCTGGATGCTTTTCCTGAAATCTAACAGCTGATTTTCCTGGGGAACGGGAGCTTTAGAATCAGATATAACGAATTAAGACAAAGCCAGAATAATTCCCAAAGAAGATAGCCTATGCACGTTCCCGCAAGCAGCTTACCCATTGCCCATCTCAGTGCACTTAAAATCAAGTGTTAGGTCCTCAATAAGGACGCTGTCTGCAGTCTTTAATAGCAATGACTTGCAAAGATGGTGAGACGAAATGGAATGCAGAAGGAATTCTATTTTCTTTTTCAGATTACACCAGAAGATAGCTACTACTTCCATTACTGGAGGAAGGAGAAGACTTACATGAAGAGACTATTCCTCTTTGTCAGGGAAACAAAGATACATGATCACAAAACCTGCTGTCTACTGAGGAACAGTGAATACAGGCTCCTAAGTAGAGAAGCAAAAAATGAAGACCTAGATCCACAAACTGCACACACGAATACAGAAGTTACACCTACTCCACATTTGAAATCGATTTCTACATATCAAAGCTCAGCATCCATATTAAAAAAATATAATCTAGGGCACCTGATAAAAGTGAGTGAGTATTCGCAGCTGTGAGCACATTTTGGGTATTGAGTCTTGAAATTCCTTCATCCTCTTGCTCTCTTCTTCATCTTCTGATGCAGTTACACCCCACTTGCCCTACACAGAGACCAAATGAGTTAAGAGGTCAAGCGTAACATGACGAAAGTTGCTAATCGGGCCACCTTCTGCCCGGCTAAACCACCATGTTTATACAAACCAACCATTGCCATAAAAAGCCAAACATGGAGCCTCTAGTATTGAAACTATCAGTCCCTTTGGTGGTTGTACAGCACATGAAAGAAATCTGAGGTCAGCAAAGCAGCCAAATCTCACACCAGCACTGCATGTCCCACAGCTGACAGTAGGGAGGTAGGCATGGAGCTATGGCGTTTTTTGCAAAAGCGTTCAGAATATTAAAGCCTCTTCTGTTTCCTTCACCTAAAACAGACCTAAACTTCTCATCCTCCAAAGCCCACCGCAGAGTCTATTCACCTAGAAGTTTTGGGCAAGACAGAAATGAAAAACACCATTCAGCAGTTTTGTTTGAATTCACTAGCTATTGCTGATGACTTTTACATTTGTCCCAACTACATTTTTCATTTTTGCTGTACCTCTACATGGTATCTAAAATCCTCTGTATATCAAAAGACAAGTATATCTGCCTCAATTAATTTTCATGTTCTAGCAATATCCTTACTGTACCTCAAGCTCACGCTGTTTTTTCCTCTCTTCAAATTGCAATCTCAGCTGCAGCTCCTCCAAAGCAGCTCTGTACATTGCATCTTGGGCATTCTGGAGCTCAATGATCTGATCAAAAACAGCTCGAAGCTGGTTGAGAAGTACCTGTGAGACAGTTAAGCAACAAAATGATGAAAGTTTGTACGGCAAAAGAGTTTTAAGTTACTACCACTCTTCAGAACATGAGTAAATTAAATCTTTTTACACACAGCTGGAGAGACTGTTTTGCAAAGCCCTTAGTTGTTGCATGATCACACAGCTTCTTAGCACCAAAAGCAACTGGCCCACACAGTGACAAGTTTTATAATCAGCATCTGTCACCGTGTGTGGGGAGTATGTGCAGAGCCTACCATAATAAGGTCTTATATCAGAGAAAGAAAAATGACTTTTCCCCTTGCTCCTATAACATAAGCGAAGATGGTTCCTAACGCGTAAGCCAAGATCACAAAGCTAAAATTTAATGCAAAGGAGAAGACTTACCCTGGAATCGCTATCCAGCAAGCACCGAGCTATGATTGTGTCTAGAAAAACTTCATGAGCTGCAATGATGTGATCCAAGTCCTGTGCTTGTTGGACCTTGTTCCAGAGTTCATCCCACGAACATTCAAGCACCTGGAGCAATGATTCAGGATTGGGCTGTTTTGATTTGCTAGATGACAAGCTCTTTGAAATTTAAGACACACAACACATACAGAATATTAAAAGTACTTCATTTTTAAGCAACTAATTGGGTGGATAGAGTATACCTCAAATGTAATGTAATACTGCATTTGATGAATGAAATGGACCATTTCTGATGCCAGAACGTGACACTGATGCAGCACCCCAGAAAGCTCTGTAAAAAATCCAAAGACATGGCACGTTAAAGACCGCAAGGACAGGCACAGCCATCAAACCAGCTTGGTAAACTTTTTCTACCAAATTGAATATGAATACTTCATAAAACAGCCACTAGTCTTGGTTGGTAGCAGCAATACTGGCTGGCAACAGATGAGCAAAGAACATTGCACAAGTAATTCCTAAAAAATGTGAGCCAAAGATGACACCGACTGTGTGCTCAGACAGCGCTGGAAACTTGCTGAGTATCACCAAGCGAAAAAGACCTTCTCAGTCCCAAGAGACCAAAATACAGTAAACGTCCCATGCGTTCTTTTGGTTGAAAATCTGAGGCCACAGATTTACTGTTGCTTCTGGGCCTCTCATCTCTTACTGTTAGCCTTCAAACCACAGAGAGCATATTTTGCACTACTTAGCTACACTAAGACCAAAAGAGAGGGTGGTTGTGACAGGGGTAGGGAATTTGTGGCTCATGTGGTCCAGGCTCAATTCCCTGATCCACCACAGACACCCACAGGTAAGTCACTAATGGCCTCAGCTGCTCACCTGTAAGAGAAGGTATCTCTGTTGCGGAAGGGTATTATCAAAATTACCATCAACTGCAAAAATTCTCTGGAACGAAGATACTCAGCCTTGTGGAATCAGGCAGATATCCAGACAGAGGAAGCAATTTCTAAAAAGCTGCCAATGTAATTTGCCACTGCAGACAAGCTATGAGACTACTACAAAAGGAATTCTACATTTTCGTATCTTGGGATGTTACAGAACCATCCAATGATCTGAAAGACATTACAAGCTACTCTGTTCACCATTTCTTATGTCTTTGCAGGAAGACTATCCCTAACACATTATGTTGCATCTACTTTAAATAGGATCAATGAAAAAAAAACTCCAGCATTGGCTAAACAATAGAAATTCCTCAACATTGGTGAGTTGGATACATCTGTGTTTCTTCTTCAAATTACTGATAGGAAAAGACTAAGCTTGATACTACTGACTAGGAGTACTCCTTTAAAGCATTAAAATCCCTGGCTGTTAAGACTTTTTGGGAATTGTGAATAAAGTTATCCTTGAAAGTCAATGCTACCTATTTGTAGTAGAAAAACAAAAGACCCTGCAGCTGCTTGCTCCTATCAGTTACTGTCTTCCATTTGGTGCTCTGTGACTGGAAGGGCAAGGTACTGTTTTGGAGGGAGAGAGAGAAAATAAAAGCAAGTTCTACTACTTCTTCATACATCAGTGCTGGGGTGGACTCTCTACGTATTTCAGAAAAAATTCTACTCGCAGCTTCCAACTTAGGCATGCCAGTGAGCAAGAAGGACTCCTGTCCCTCCAGGCAGAAGGCACTACAGGCCTTTGTACACATACTCGCCTTTGTCAGAGGCACAAACTGAGAACTACAACACTCAGCTCCTTCTGCCAACAATAGCTATAAAAGCTTGGCCGGCTTTTTAGATGTCTGCATTACTTAAAACATAGCCAAACCTAAAGGTGACAAGCAACTGAGCTTTTACTTTCAGAAGATTGCTCCATAGCGAAGCATAAGAAAGGCCTCCCAAGGAAGGAGGGGGGGAGGAAAAAAAGGAAGAAAACCCAAACTTCCTTCTGAGAACAAAAGAGCAAACAAAACCCTAGCAATGGCAGACAGCTCCAGCCTGAAGACCCTCAGGCGATGAGAATAAAATCTGTTAACTACACCGTAGTCTCAAAGGGAACAGAAAACAAAACCACAAATAGACTACTAGTTTTGAGTCAAACAAGCACTTATTTGGGACACGGAAATGACAGTAAACTAAATTCTATCTCACAGAAACAGAAAGGGAACCTAGTCATCCCACACAGTTCCAGAGATCAGCCTTGTGCATTGGAGCAGACTTTACAAGATCTTGTTTCCCAGCAACCTTCTGAGGCCAAGGTGTCCACTCCCACCCACCAAACAGTTCCTAATTATCAAAACATAAATATATTTTTGTAAATATTACTATGCCACAAAAAAAAGTGTAACCCTCAATAGGTATTTTTTACTCGGAGAAATGTAGCTAGGTAAAAAAAGTCAAGATTGAGCCAGTACAGATGCTCACAAATATGACTATATTCTCAGCCGAGAAGTAGGATCAAAAAATCCCCGTTCATTAAACATACACCAGAACCACTACACTTAAGAGCTTTCCTATTTCTTCTCAAACACCTGTTTCTCTTATCTTTGCCTCTTCTAAGAGGCACAGGGTAAACAAAAGCACAGGGAATGAGTGAAGGTAAAACTAGTAAGTTTAGAAGCGTGCATGTGTGAGACTTACTAATTCCAGCACAAGAAAGAGGGAGACACAGGGTAACAGATAGGAAGCCATCAACGAAGATGAGTAAAAAGGGATGGAAGAGTAACAGTCTCTTTCCAGAGACATGGGATGTTTCATTTGCTCACTGCTACAAAAACTCACAACCAAGGATTAAGTAAAACAAACAGGAAACTTCCAGTTAGAATAATGTTACTTTATCTTCATCATCATCTATCATTAAACAGTCAGTCAAGAGGAGCAGCAAAATATAAAACTCATCTGTTCCAACAGACCTTTTTCCCCCCTCTTAACATACAGTTTAAAATAAGATGCAGTCATCTAAAGCCAGTTTGCAAGTATGTCATCCATTTGGACTTCTCTCACCTGGTATACTTTTCAGAAGCTTTGCATTGCACATGTGCCCCTTCCATATATCAGTAAGAATATACTCCATTCGCTTCGCTCTCCAAAGGAAATTAAATACTCTTAGATAGTGGCTCATGCACTCACGTGTAAATACCTACAAAACAAACAAAGTATCAGTACAAATTTAATAGACATGTCATGTGTTCTGAAGGACCAAGAACCTCTTCACAGTCCATCTATTCCGACCCATGCAGTTTACTGGTAAATATTGTCTAAACAAAATCCCTGGAAACGCCAGAGCTTTTGGGAAGACTCTCCCTCAAGGGCTGAACTAAGTTACCTAACACTCAAGTAGGCACAGGGCACTGCTGAGGGCAGAGCTAAGCACCTCCTCTGGTCCAGAGTGCACTTCAACAGCACCATCATTTTATTTTTTGCATTTTAACACTAAAAGGATTCCCACATCATCAATTTTTCCACATCATATCCTTGAGAAGACTGAAGACAATGAAGTAGGAACGCACTGAAGCTTATATGCTTTTCAACACGAGTCCTCCACATAGGCATCTTTTCCATATTTAAAAAAATTTAAATAAAAAGGTTGTTTTGTTTTCTTGATTTTTTTTTTTTTTTAAATCCTAAGTACTGCTCTGATGCTTTTGCCAGTTCCAACTCATTATAGGCTGAGAAAGTACAACTGTATTCGTCGTCCTACCAACACGCCAACTGAAAAAGCTTGGACCCACATGTAGGACGGAATAATTTCTTGGGAGGTTTTGAGCACTTCCAATCCCAAATGGGAGGAAGTGTAAGAAGGGGTGAACAAGACAAAGCCTAAACATTTCGCTCTTTTCAAACTACACGAAAATTCCTTCTGCTGGTCAGACTCACATTTTGATGTCCTGGTTTTTTTAAAAAAAAAAAAAAAAAAAAGGAAGTTCTTTAGAAGTTCTTTAGAGGCTAAATGCAGTCTGATCAATAGTGCAGCTATTTTCTCAGTAGTTCTAATGAACACTATCTATCAAATTTCATTTAGATACTACAAGTAGGTTCTCCTCAAATACATTCTTCAGTTCCTTGCAAATTATCCCAAATTAGCAGCTACAGCCTAGTTATAATGGAAGAAGAGGAGCACTCCATTTATTAAGTACTTGCTAAAATCTCTGCTGGAACAAATGAATTACTGATTTTCAGTAATGATTGTTTTAAATGTAGCTTTTTAGCACTCACGGTTAATTTATAAGAATTGAGATTTTGGCTCAACCGTTTATACAGTGGATGTATCCAAGATATCCAAGATGCCAAAAAAAAAAAAAAAAAAAAAAAAAAAAAAAAAGAGGTCTCTCTGATCTTACACTCCAGAATAAAAAAGGTTACTTCAATTAAAAAAAAAATTTAGCAATTGATTTCAGTATCTGAGACATGTTCACAGCCAGCAGTATATAACATTACCGTTGCTATTGGCCCATCAACATGATAGTCCAAGCTGAAGACATCCCATCCAGTGTCCCCAGGAGATACCTGCATTAAAAAGATATGCTACTTTCAATGTATAACCAGAGCACACTAGTGCTGAAGAGCAAACTCTTGGTTACTCTTCCATTCTCCGCAGCCTATGAAAAAGCAAGCATCCACATCTATAGATACAGGAGTTCCCTGTCGAAAGTAGTAGATTAAGCAAAAATGAACCGAAGTTTGACACAAGGGTGGGATTCATCTCACCCAAATGCTGATGTTTGTAATGTCAGTGTTTTTCCATTGGAGCTAGTAAAGGAAATGAAGGGAAGGAAAAACTTCCTAGGCAGGACTCAGCCTAAGGTATAGACTTATTTCAGATGCTACAGTACATCAGTTAACTCCCACCTCTGGGACTGGAGCTTTCTCATTAACTCAAGTTTCTTACCAGAGGTCTCCTTCATGAAACGCACTTTTGTTGCTTCACTCTTTGTAACTACTAGCGACAAAGAGATCATCTCCCAGATTCTTGTAAGAGCAACAGCAGTAGGAGCTGCTTGCTGAACCTCAAATCAGGGCCACCAGCATCAATTACTATTAGACCCCAAATACTCAACTTCGTATTGTCAATGAAATAGCTGTAAACCCACAGCTTGAAATACAAATAGATAATAGGCAGGAAAGGGGAAAAGAAGAGAAGAGCTATTAAATGAGGTTTAGATAATTCAAAGTAGACCTCAGTGGAAAAGGGGGGAATATATTTACTATATACACATATGAAAATTTTGTTTCATATAGATGTCCGCATGTACACACACACAAAAAAAGGTATGTTTCAGGTCAAAGTCACCATGATGCAACAGACCTCCAGAAGTCGAACATCCAATCGTTTGAGAATCTCAGGATTATCAAACTGGGCATTAGTTGCCCTCACCGCTGTTTCAAGGATTCCAGTTAGATTATGCTGATATAAGGTCGTAGCTGGTCGTGCAAGCTCTGGCCTGGTGGTTATGAAACAAACAGTCATGGCATATTACTGAGACATTCTGCAGCAGCAATTTGGTAGTAACTGCAGCACACAGTGAAACACTTTTCTGACAGACTTTCAAAACCTCTTGTATTACTTTTTCAGTCTTAACCATGAAGAAAATCAATAAGCAAAATATTTCAGCGGAACATGAGCAGAATATGTTTATTCATATGCAGTTATACAGCTGAACATCAGCATGAGGAGTAACTTTATCCTCATTTAACGCCAGTAATTTGAAATTGCTGGATAGCATAACTGTTTTGTAATTTTAGTTGCATTCATATCTAAAATGAGGCAGATTACATCATTAACAAATCAAACCAATAATTTAATTTCAGTTTTAAGAAACTTACTGACAGCCATCTCACAGGCTTAGAAGTGCTGGCAGAAGCACACAAACCCACCTTAAACTTAAACTTTCCAAAGAGTTGCAACATGCAAGTAACAAGCACCTTGCACTACTCCTCTCCCTCATGATCAGTACCGGAAAGCCCCTCACTACTTCTGCCTCAAATGTAATACTGATTCCACAAACCAGCCTTACTCTGCTTCACACTAATTTTCACTTTAAAAAGCATGGTCATGTACAAATCATCACCAGACAGTGTTGGTTTTGATTTATAAACAAGTTAATGGAAGCTCTATTACAAAGCCTGCCTTCTAGACCAAAGGAAAACTTTGTGAAGGACGTTTTTAGTAGACTAAGTTTCATCAGTAGCACCAGCATGTAAAAGCAGTGAGCTTGCAAATACACTTTAAGAACTGAAACAGATACTTGTGGGTGCACCTGAGTGCTTAAAACAGAGGCTGGTGAGGCATCAATTAAATTTTTAAAAATGCATCGAGGGGTTTTGACACAATGTTTTGGACGAAACACCTCCAAAACATAAAAGCGTAACATTCACAGCAATGCTAACTAGTGGCATCAAGAGCAAGAGAACTTCTCTGCTTAAATTTGCTGACAGGAGCGAGAGAAGTGCTAACATCCTTGAGGCTGTCACAGGCTCAAGTGCAAAGGTATCTATATTAGTGCAACTTTTCAAGATACTGTGAAATGGTACGGTATATACTTCCTACGAAAAAGGAAGAACAAAGTTTAAGCCTTAGGGTCAAAGAAATTAAATCAAAAATAGAATTTAAAAGTTGCTCTATTAAACCTTTGAGTAATAAGATAGTTAATGGGTCCTCTTCCAAAAGCAAAACAGCTTCTGTGCTGATCATGCTCATTTGCAAGCATCAGAAATTCAACATAATTACCCTTCCTACTCTCTTACTTGAGCAAGTCCATTAAATGCCTGATAAAGTCTCCTTGACCAAGTAGTAAGTAGCGCCTCATGGCCTGCATGTGTTCCAGTAAATTGTACTTCTTATTGAGCACATCCAGCAGGTATTTGCTGGTCTCAAAATAAGCTGCATCAATTTTCTCTTGAAATGCATTTTCCAAATCTGTGAACAAATCAGCAGCTAAAAAAAAAAAAGAAAAAAGTTAAAATTAAATTAGTTTTTTTCCAAAACTGAGGCAAACAGGCTTTGGAATTGAAACATACAAGCAGAGAAATTGCTATTTATTCTGATCCACTACATTATACATTTGGCATAGCCAAAGTGAAAGCAAGTCTAAAGCAGCCCATACTTCAACACTATTACTTTTAATCTGTGCCCAGATTGTACTTTCCAATAAGAGCTCATATTATTTCATCACTTTTACACAGAAAGTGATTATTTTTTTTTATTTATTTATTTTTTTAGCTTGCCAAAATACTGCAGTTTACAGAATCAAATAATTTGAAGGAGATCTAAAAGGTCAGAGTTAGGGAAAAGCTTTGTTGGGGGGATCTAAATCAGAAGTCACTTCGGGGGGGGGGGAAGGGGGGAAGAAAAAAAGAAATCAAAGGATCCATCAGAACATCCAACAGAAAAAAGTTCCCACATATAAATCAGAATGAGAGAGGAGGGAATATGCTTGCATCACCTGCAGGACAGCCAGCAATCTGATGTTTTCTTCTCCACCGTTAATGCATGGCAACTTGGGGCAGAAAGTAGGACACAGCCCTTTAGTAGGAAGCGTATTTCACTCTTTTCTACAACTACAACCTTAGTAAGAAATGGACTGCAATAAGGCTGTTACAAGATAGCAAGAAGTGTGGCCTCTTCAGGCAGCATGGAGCCAAACTCCAAATACTGGACTGCCAACTATCATAAGATTCAGACCTTCCTCAGCATTAAAGGATATACTCTACTCCCACATTCAAAAATTTTAAATTACACAACTATTGCTCTAAAGGTAAAAAAATGAAGATCCAGGTACTAAATTAAGACTGTAAAACAGTGCACTGCCTGCTCCAGGATTAGTTTCAACCTGTACTGCAGACAGGAAAAATTAAAACCAAGTTTCATGTTGTTCTGATGAGATTCAGCCTCAATTAATAAAATGCTTTTAAATTGAAGAAATAAACAGCGGTTCTAATAAAAGAAGTCACACTTTAATGAGAGAAACCTCACAATGTCTGGTTCAATGACATTCCCTGAGGTTTCCAAACTCTCATTCAGCAACCTGCGAAGCTCTCCATAAGACCCCAAAAGTGCAAGCATATGCAGAGATGTCAAAGAGATTACAAGAGATTGTATAATACATTGCTGTGCTCAAAATCCCTACACTAGAAGCATACTACTTAGTCAAGTAACACGCATCAAGCTTAAGAGATGTGAGAATTAATACAGCCTATAGTAAGGAATCCTCAAAGTGCTCTTTTCAGTCACTGACAGCAAACCAGGAGAGACAGCTCACCAAGGTCTCTGCTCACTCTGGTCAAGGTAGAGATCTGCTGTGATCTGACAAAGCAATTCTTGCATTGCTCAAGTAAGGAAGCATGTAGCAGTGTTCCCATTGCTGGGAAAAAGGGAAAAACATCAGTTCATGCAAATGCATTTGTCTCACTGGAACGTCCAAACAATTCTGACTTTCATCTAGTCTTTCCCTGTCAGCAGATCCTGTCCTCTTAACTGCTACCTTCAAAAGATGGGTTCAAGTGTGGCTGCTTGCATGTATAGTGGTACCAGCCATCTGATCTGCTACATGGCTTCACTGCTGGCTTTGGAGGAAGAAGGAAGGCCTTCCAGAAAAGAAAAAAAGCTAAAAGAGGAGTTTCACGGATAGAACACAGTAAGTTACAACACCCCAATGATCTGTTCTTGCAAGAGTCTTTCCACAAGATGCTGCAAGCCTAACGGGCAAAGCAAAAGAGGGAACAAGCCAACCCAAAAAGAGTTATGAGCTAATACCTTCAGTGACTGGACACAAAGGTTGGGCCTAGGACTGGCTCGAGGCACAGGGAAAGCCAACAGGCAGCAGGCAATTGCCTAGTTTGCCTATGGCAAGCCTACCAAGTCACACATGCTGGTTCTGCCTCCACTCAAATAGGGGTAAGCATGTGTAAGGCAGTACCTATGGCTGAGGACACACGGACCAGTCTCAACTTTTTGTTATCCCAAGCAGAAAAAAAGCCTTTTCCCTCTCCTTAGTACTGCTCCTTGTCTTGAGGGAAGTGACATGGCCACAGCCCTTCACCTCTGAGACTGGAAAATTCAAGTTTACATGTGTAGCTGTAACGCACTATCTCTGCATACATGCACACCAGCATAGGCAATGCACCATCCCTGTCTGACATGCAAAACTACTAAAAAGGTTGCTTACATCAACAAAAAAGAGGCCTAGGCACAAGTTTTTAAAGCTGTGCTAAATTATCTCCGGAAATAATGAAAAGCCAGAAATGGGTCAAGAAAGGATCAGGCAAAAAGCACTGACAGACAGGCCCATGAGTTGCTATTGAATGTAGTGGTCTCATGTCATTCCTGGTTCAGAAGTTCCCAAACTGTGGACAGCCAGAGGTTGGAGCTGGGATCACTTTATCTTCCTTTTTTACTGTTCTTCTTTAATTTGCTGTGGAACCTTATCACTTGTGTTTCTCCAGTTTCCTTTTGATGCTGAAGTGATTGTGATGTAAAAAACTCTTTGAACATGTATTAAACAGGAAGTCAGAAATGAAGAACAGCGTAGAAGTTGGTCATCTTGCCTGACAGGGGATTGTAGCAGGAATAACAATAAAGATACTGTACAAGATGTCAAAAAGTGCAAAGAAGGATGTTCTTAGAAAACTAAGTAAAAAACTTGACAGAAAACAAATGTTTAGATAATTCTTCTCTTGGCAAAAGCTAGATATGCTAGTAGGACATCATTATGCTTCTAGAAATTATGTACAAAATAGAATCAGAGAAATTATCCCAGTGATCTACATCTTAACAATTAGACTCTCTTTGGTATATTAAACAAGTTATAAAAAGAAGTTATAGCAGTAAAATATAACCTTCACCAGGCGAGAGCAAGTTGTCCTTTCTCCCAGACGCAGCAGCATCCTATGCATTACCTTACCTTCTTTGCTTAGTATTTACACATAAAGTCTCCTTGTTTTAGATGTTTATTATTTGCTATCTTTCATCATAACAATGTTAACTTCACTGCAAAGAATATGCCACCAAAGAATAACTGCAAATGGTATATAAGTTCTCATTCATTAAAACTGAAATCTCTTCTGAATAGAAAGAAATAACTTGAAGGAATCCTGACAGTTAAGTTTTGGTTTAATGTTCAGCAACTGGCAACCCCAATTTTAAGTAATCTTCAAGAAGAATTTTACTAATCTTCCACATACTCACTTCGGACATATTATAGTGGTAGAGTACATTTACAGAAAGGCTTCTGTCCTGCCTGTTTTTACTGCTTATTCTCTTATTTACAACTAACGGATTATTTATTATTTTTTAATCACAGAATTAATTCAGTATTATTATGGAATTGTATGATGAAGTATATTTGATGAGAAGTCACAAGTGCTAAATTCTTACTGCAGCACTCGAGAATATCCCTGCCCCCACCCCAGCCCCCTCAACAAAAGTCAGCTGAAGGCAGACTGGTTTCTGAATGGTTTCATTCAGAAATCCAGTACATTAAGAACCATCCAGCAAACCTATCAAATTAAGAAAAGAAAATTACACATATGCATCTTCCTACATCTGTTGCAAAATGCAAGTATCCATTAAAATACCTATATTTTAGGGCAGATGCAACTTTTGTACTCCTTTCCACCCCACTATCCAAAATGTCAGTTTACAGTCTAAACCACATATTGTACAGAGCTCAGTTCAAAAGGAAGAAGTTGACTAACTTCTTGATACACTACCATCTTTTGAAGACTCTGCAGATTTTGCCACAGCAATCATCTTTGTGGATGGAGTTTGATCATGACAAACTTGATGCAAGAAGTTTATGGATTTTCCTATTAGGAGTACCTGAAGAAAAAAGGATTTTTTTTTTTTAATGATTTGCATATAAGGAAAAAAAAAACCCACAACAAAAAAGCCACGTACAGCCACCAGGACAACAGGGTATTTTGTCATCTTTCTGTGCGCTTAGCTTCACAATCCTAACCACAGCAATCCAGAACTTCAATGCTAACACAAAAAAGTTTTAAACAAACTTCTTTTTCTCCCTTGAGATCTCCTTAAACAAAGTTTATCAGTTAGAGAATGGAAAGGAGAAACCATCTTATAGTCTTCCTCAGCAAACAATTCTAAAATTCTTAAGACGATTATTTACTGTTAAATTTGGCCTCTATTTTCTTAATGGAAATCTAAACAGCAGCATAGGGCAAACAAATCATCAGAAGATTAACTTTTGAATTCATACCTTTTTTGATTGCTCCATTGTAATAAAAGAAGGGATCATTGATTTTCTCAAAGTGTATTTGTCATGCCACAACCGATCAGTTTTAACTGTAGGATCTGAAGCTACAAAAAACTGTAGATTGAAATAAATATTAAAACCAAAAGATGAATGTAAACTCTCTCCCCTAGTGTTTCATTTCTGTATTCAGAGAACTGTAAAAATATTCTGAGTTATTCTTTTAAGTAAAAAAACAAAAAAAAAAAAATTTTTTTTCACAGCTAACATGCAGACTTGTCCTGGCAATTGATATGTAAATTGTATGTTGACCAATATGAACTCTGAAGAAAACAGTTAAAGAACAGCTCACATAATTTAATCTCCTCTGTACATTATGAAACCTTGACTACCTCAGGGTAAAGTGTACTATCTGTAAAACATCCACTATGAAATACAAGGCGTATAGCATTTTCCGGCAATTAGTTATACAGTTAGGGTAGGAGACAAAGTTCAGAATATAAGTATAATATGCTTTTATTTTACTGGTTCTATTTTTACTCAAGCCCCTTTGAATTTCCTCCTATTTTAACAGATGCAGAATTGCAGAAAAAAAAACCCACCACAAAACCAACAAATCCTGTGACTGAACTGGTGATCAAATGCTAAGGTCTCTCAATTCCACGCAAGAGAATACTTTCATTTGTAAGAAAATAAAACTACATAATTAGTTTTGTTAAAATGACTTGCAGATGGATTCTGTCCTCATCCTGTCAAACAAGATATTCATTTTTTGGACAAGAACTTCTTTCAGTGCCTCCAAATACCATTTCCACCAAGAATGGACAATTGTCTTTGTTCAAAAACCGTGTCTAAGGTATGAAAATTGTAGCTTTCAGTACACCACATCCAACAGTGACTTTCAGTATTAAGAACACTCTTACAGTGAATGTGTAAATTTTTAAACAAAGAGTTGAAAGCTAATGAATGATATAAAAAACAAAAAAGACAACACCTCACGTCTCAGGAGTAGCTGTAGTAGAAGTACACTTCTAGCCATAAAGACTCATAGACATTTCACACAAGTCTCCTAACGCTGACCTTAAAGATCAGCTGTGGGTGATATTTGTACTCATTTTCATTTTGACTCAGATGGACAGTTTCAGAAATCAGACAGCATATTTTACACTCAAGTGAAGTTGAGATGTGTCTCAGAAGTGCTCAATTCATTTTTAAAAATTACTCTTTGGCTTCTTGGAACCAAAAAAATGTCACTTTAACAAGACTGTACTGATTGGAGACAGGAAAAAGAGTTGGGAGAGCTTAAAAAGGCATAAAAATATTTCTAATAAGAAAAAGGACAGTTACTAGAACTTGCTGTTACAGAAGTCAGAACAAATAACTCTGTAGAGTTTCTAGAGGAACTCTAGAGGAACCGTAAACCTCTTCTACCCAATTTGACAAACCAAAGTTATTTATGAAGCTGAGGATAACCGTAGGTAGTCAGAGTAGATTATTCTGAACTTTATTCCAAATACAAGGCTTGCATTTTAAACAGCTACAAAGAACTTGGCATAGATTATTATTGTTACACTAAGCAAGAAAAGATACAGGGATGACTTTGTCTCTCTTCAGAAGCAAGCATCTATTTTTAGTCCATCATTCTGCCTCTACTAAACAGACCCAGGATATGATTCACTGACGACAGTATACTGCATTGCAACCTCCAGACATCGCACTGACTGAATCCATGAAGAGAGTCACATTTCATGTTGTCACCGTATATATTACTTACCCATATGTTATATGTTTCCATCACAGTCTACTTTTCAAATTCTCCACTAAGCTTCCCACAGATTACACTCTCACAAAGCAAACGAACAGAGATAAAATATTTATTGTATCACCTGCATTACCTCATGGTATGTATCCTCCAGCTCTCCATCATAAATCCAGCGGTAAAGGAAATTCAGTACAGGATGGGATACTAGGCCAAGAATGTGCTGAACCAGAGATCTCATGTAGGGATCTCCTGTTTTAGTATAGGCATGAACTGCTGAGGCTAGTTCACCACCTTTTCTCCCTGTAAGATTATAGGGGAGAGGAACAGAAATGTATGACAGAAAAATACATATACCAAACTTGAATTCAGCAGCCATTGATTTTAGCTAGTCATATGTCACCCAGAGCTTGCTGGACAGCAATTCTAAAATGTAGCAAAAGTTGTTTGTTTTTTTTTTTACATTGACAGTGAATTCCTAGGTTTTAAGGCATGAATCATTAATCTCACTGAAGCATTAAGCACAGTTCTCTGACACCGTATTCTGTCTACTTTATGATAGCTTGAAGGAATGCAAATTTCAAGGCGTCAGGTCACACACAAAGGTTGACTTTATGCTTTTGTTCACAACCATCCCCACTAGAATAGCATTAAAGGAGCCTTAGTATGTTTTCCTTCTCTCCTGTACTTGACTCTCTCCCAGATGTTCTGTGTGAATACATACACACAAACACATCTTTCCTGCTTCTTGGTTACAGTTCCCCCCATAGCTCCTTTAGGCAATATGTCCTGTCTTCTTGCAATTGAAAGGTAAGAGGCTGTCAAAAAAAAAAAAAAAAAAAAAAGTAGAACTAGTACTTGTTTTGCTGTTATGCTGCACAGCCTAAAGGTTCCTTGCAGCACAGTCTGTAGCATTCAAAATTTTCCTGAATGTCTTAAAAGTAAAGCCCACTTTTTTTTCCAAAATTGTTACCAATTCCAATAATCAAGGTAAAACAGATGTAAGCTTTTTTGGTTAAGATGCTCTTTCCAAAGGGCCACAATCTCCATTTATTTTCAAAGACAGCAAAGCTGAAGTAGCCTTAGGGAAAAGCATAGCCTATGGGTCAGTTACTGGCCAAAGTTTTGGTCAACTCCAACACCACTCCTCAGCATTTTCTCCTCAGCATGGATTGTCAATACAGCCATGCACTATATGCAGATTTGTAAAGTTTCGTTGTTTCACATGAATCTGCAGACAAGTTGCAAATGACTCCTATATGCCATCATATATAGAGGAAGAGCATAATGCTCATACCTAATGAAGAGACTAAACCAACCATTTCATAATGTATTAGTGGGTTTTTGCAGTGTAACATTCTATGATTCTATGACTCAAATTGAATAATTGAAAACAGCACGAAAAGTGTGTGCATAAAATTTGAAGGATTTCTCAAGCATGTTCTAGTTTAAAAAAAAACCAACAAAATAAAAAAACATAAGTGTATCAAAACAGAACTACAATTCGTCAGTTTTTTGCTTTAACTAAAAGAGAGAGAATCCTCTGGATTAGCTACTTAAAATTTTCTAAAAAAACATAACAGTAATAATATTGATATCCGCCTTTGGCACGCACAACCACTCAAAGTTACTTAACTTCCCCATAAATACTAAATTCATGTTAAACACACCTTGACAGTGATCAACAAGTGCTGCAAGGGTCTTTAACCTTATTTTAGGATCGTATGTCCAGACTAGAAGACGTCGAAGAGTTAAACTGCTCTCAAGTCCCAAATTCACGCCCTGATCATCTTCCAATTGCAACTGATCAAATTAGAAACAGAAAGACATATCAAGGAACAAAACTGGCAAAACTGAAGCAGAACTGATATTTCACAGTTTTTGTTCTGAAGTTTGCTTTTTAGTAATACACTTGAAATACCCAGTATTATATGTTCTCTCATTAAATCATTGGGCCAAAACCCGAGAGCCACACAAGAGGAAACAGAGAATCATGCGCAGGTAAAAGGACAGAGACAAGTAGAAGTGTAACAGGGCAGACAGAGCACAAAGGCCAAGAAAGTTAAAGAAAGCAAGGTGATAGATAGTCACAAAAGGAGAGAAGAGCAAAGAAAAAGAGAGCAGAGATCCTGAAAGACAGCAAGTATTGGCCAAAGAGATGCTCAGAAAAGAGTAAAGAAAAACATCTAAAGGAAAGGAAAGGGTGTAGCAGGTAAAATTTTTATTACTGCACAGCCTGCTTATTTTAGTTCAACATGGGACAAATTCTGTTCAATGTCTTCCTCCAGAAGCCATCAGTTAGGTATACAGCGAGATTAAGGAATTGATACCATTGAAAAAAACATTAAAAGCTACAATAAGAAAAATCTGTCACAATGTGACTACCAAGAACCTTCCAACACCATGGAAAATGAAAGCCAAATATTTGCATCTGAAATGCAAATGCACATCTCATACAAGTACAGATGGAGTAAGCAGGATAAGAACACAACTTAAGAATATAGAAGCAAGTTCCTAGAGCAGTCCAAGCAGATACAGAAAAGATGCTCTGTTTCTTCCTGTATGCCACAACAAATCCACTCCGTGCTTCCACGGCTAGCACATTTTTTGCCAAATACAATGTATCAGTTAAACTTAAGTCTAGTGCCATCCACATTAAGCTCAGCCTTAAAGCCAGTTAAATTCATTAGCTCCTGAATGCTCCTGGGTCCATGGTTTTTTTTGTTTGTTTGTTTTTTTGTTTTGAACTCATCTTGGAAAAAGATGGAAATTGGCAACGATAAGAGAGATATACGAGCAAGAACCGCCCTTTGTCTTTAGGGAAGAGATTATGCACTTACATCTTCATCATGGAAGTGCATTTTTAAAGGGGCTGGCAATGTGAAAACAGTCTGCAAGGAAAAGACCTGAAAAGCTTACAGAATAGTATACACTCAGGACAACTCTTTCCGAGGAAAAAACATGTTTGGGGGAAGCTCTGAAGACATAACATAAAGTTATATAGAGAAAGACAGTACAGAACCCTTTGATGAGATTCTTGTTATGTACTACTATGCCTGAACTGTTAACTAGAACTGCAGCTAACAACTCCTAAGCTGGCAGCCTGTATGATCTCCTGAATACAAGAATGCAGCATGCTCTCAATTCCAAGACACAATTTTCTACATGTTTTCAAGCAACTGAAATGCACAGTTTTGCAAAGAAAGCGTCTTTCAAAAAAAGTAGATTTTTTCCATCACTTTTTAAAATAAAATTGACAAGTCACCAAGCTCACCTCTGGGATAA